GAGAAAGAGAGATAAAGAAGAATAAGAAAAGGAGGAGGAGGAGGAGGAGAAGAAGAAGAGAAATGAAGAAAGAATCACCAGTCCTGCGCTTTGGGGACATTATTACATAAAATAAGTGTGACTGGAACACAAGCACTGCGATACTGAGACAGTGGGCCTGGTAACTGAAATAGATGGTTACTAACTGACCAGCAGGCGGTGAGAGAATACAGCGTGGAGGTGCTGGACAAAGGGTGACTCACATTCCAGGTAGGGTGGTACAAAAGTTCATCGCATCATTCAGAACATAACACAATTTAAAACTTATGAATTGCTTATTTCTGCAATTTTCCATTTAATATTTCAGACCATGGTTGACCACAGATAATTGAAACTGCAGAAAGTGAAACCGCTGATAACGGGGGGAATACTATACTTCAGAATGCATCTCCTCAAGATAATATATCAGGGCTAGAAGAGAAAAAGTAATGCATTTTTTTTATTTGTTTAAGCTATTCTGGGTCATTAAGGGAGACTCTGTTCTGGTCACAGAATTGCAAGGACAAGGTAGATTGGAAGTCAGGCAGGCATGGCGTCAGCAGTTTTGACCTGGACTTGGATTTTATAACTTGCCCAACAAAATGACACCCACATTCCAAAAGACCAGAAGTACCATTCAGCTCATTTCTGACTGAAGCATGTTTAGGTTTGTGAGTTTCTTATCAAGCTAGATTTGGTGGATAAAATAAATATGTCCAACTAGTTATATCTATGTAGCTTGTACTCCCTGCCCCTTTAAATTCTTATACTGAATCAAGAATAATTTTTCACACCAGGAAACTGGCCAAGCATGTGCTATATACACTGAGTGGCCAGATTATTATGACCACCTGACGTTTGTAGACAAATTAGCCGTACACTGCATCGTATGGGATATGGAAGCCGAGGGCCTCTTCTAACACCTTTGCTGTCTGCAGTTACCAAGACAAAACGTCTCCAATTCGCACAGGAACACAAGGATTGGACAGTTGAGCATTGGAAAAAAGTCATGTGGTCCGATGAATCACGTTTCCAGTTGCATCATGCAGATGGCAGAGTGAGAATTTGGCAGAAACAGCATGAAAGCATGCACCTCACATGCATGAGTACAACCCTTCAAACTGGGGGGGAGTAGTGTTATGGTTTGGGGATGTTTTCCTGGCATGATTTGGGCCCTTTAATTCATGTGGAGCAACGTCTGAATAGCACAACATACCTAAGTATCGTTGTTTTTCAAGTTCATCCTATCATGTTGGTAGCATATCCCCTCGCATCACCTTTCAACATCTCGTGGAGTCAATGCCAAGAAGAACTGCTGCAGTATTGAAGGCAAAAGGTGGCCCAACGAAGTACTAATGGGGTGGTCATAATAATCTGGCCACACTCATGTTCATATCTCCCACATTCAAAGGCTGTTAAATCACATTGTTTACCCATATCTTCAGAAAAAAATAATCACTTCTACTGTCGTGGTAAACAACCTGCTTCCCTATTTATAATGGTCTGGCCCTCTAGCAACTTCAGCGTGAAATTATAGCTAATTTGCCTACAAACCTCAGGTGGTTATAATAAAAACATCAGGTGGTCTGGACACTCAGTGTATATATCTGACCCATTTGAGTATCTAAAGCACCATATTAGAAAATTGTTACGATAAAAAGAAAATGCCCTTGCTCTTTACCTCTGCCACCATCATATCTTTGGGTAGCAGGAGGAATTAGCAATATACTTACGAGCACTCTGTGCGCGTAGGCTCATTTCAGGGCATTGATTTGATACAAATTCTAATCCTGTCCTCAGTCCATTGGTTTCCAGTGTAGCTTTACTGTAACTACACCATGTATTTTATCAGATATTGCCAATATTTGTATTTAGTGTACGGTATTGTGATTTCAAAATCAGTTCTAGATTTAGCCCAACATTTTGGAATGTATTTTTCTGTATAAAAATTGGCTCAGAAAAAAAACAATATTTTGAGATTTAAAAAATATCTTATAGTTATTCTAACACAGATTTTAGTCACATTTATATTCTGTAGTGTTCAATGATTCCACTACATTACAAACTCAAGGAACAGATAAAATTGCTTTACCCACTGCCACCTAAGCAATGTGGAACATTACAAATAATATGTATTCACAAACAAGAGCCACGATGGTATGGCTCCGAAAGTAGGAAGGACATTACGACCGGCCTGTATAGGAAGAGCCTGACTGATTTCTTCCAAGCAATGCATTTTCATCAAAGCTCATACATATTCAGTGAAACAAATAGAAGGCCCATGAATTCAATGAACTGCCACTGAAACCAAAACATCGGTTTCCTAGCATCTGTTTGCGGGAATTATGCAAAATACTGAATGCAATGTGTTTTCACTGCAATCCTATTTTTGTTTCCCAACCAGTGAATTTTCATTTAAACCAATATGTTTACCTCAGACCCATGTGCGTGCATTTATTGGAACTGAAATACAGTTACAGATACAGGCAACGTGTCGACGGAGACCAAACCAATGCATTTTGATTCAACTCAGCCAATTTTCCACCACATGTATTCTGATTCTCTGGGGACATGGAGCGCCTATAATGATAAATGCACGAGGCTGTGAGGGAAGGCAGGAGAAATGACGTCCTGGATTGCAGGGAAATGGCACGGAGCAGCAGCTCTCTTAAAACCTTGTTGCCCAACTTGTACCCTGTGGCCCAGCAGCCCTGGGAGCTGGTGAGCAAGGCAGACTCTCAGGCCCACCTTAGACCCATTGTTTCAGAATCTGCTCTTAGCAAGATCTCCAAAGTACTTCATTTGAACACTATCATTTGAGAAGCACTGGTTTAAAACAAACTCTTAAATGTCCTTAGGTTGATACTCAAAGTTTTCTGAGACAAACAATTTTTCCAGTGGATGGACAATCTGGTAAAACAGAGTTCAAAACCAGCTTGCTTGCTTTTTATTGCATACGATACATGAATACAAGTTCTTCTTTAAGACTCAAACAATTAAAAGTCTATAGAGCAGTGTCTCAAATGAGAAATAAATGGCCAAGATGAAACTCTGTTTAAGAAAGAAAATTCAGCCCTAGCTGTGGACTGAAGTGTCCTGGGTTCAATTCCGGTCGAGGGCACTTACCTTGGTTGCAGGTTCTCTGGCCCTGGTTGGAGTGCATGCAGGGGGCAACCAATCGATGTGACTCTCTCACATCAATGTTTCTCTTTGTCTCTCCCTCTCCCTTCCACTCTCTAAAAATAAAAGAAAAAAAGAGAAAAATACAGCACATACAGTAATGCACAATATAATACTTGGTCCTAATAAATACCTATGTTGCGGTTTGTTAGAAAAAAAGGAACGCAAATTCATAAGTTAACATATTTCAGGTTGCATGAATGAGTCTCCAGTCTTCTTTGGGTGGTAGTATATATTGCAGGATGTACAAAAAGTAAAGAGTCAAGAACAGCTGAATACAGCGCAGCTCTAAAGAGGTCAACTTTTTGCCTCCTCACAACACGCTCCCCATGAGGTGACCCAAGCAGGCTTTCTGTTTCCGGGTGGGGTTGTTTTGGTCAACCACCTTCAGTCTGGCAGACTTAATTTTTAAACTCAGCCACAAGGGTTACCTTGAGGAACCTTGAAATGATTGAGAACAGAAGTTCTTTTTTTGGATCTGAAGACCCATTACATAAACTTTCATTTGGCCTTTTAATGGTAACCAATGCAATAAATTATTAAATGTTTTAAGCTTGGTAATGATAAATTAAAATCCATTTACTGAGGATTCCGAGTCAATATTCCAGCAAGAAGTCTTGGTCTTGTCAACTTTACAATCCTGCTGTGCACATTGTCACAGAGCTATTTTGAATTCCAGCAAAGGGAAAGGACACTTTAGAACAGGTGACATGCCAGCGTTATCTTGAATTCTTGTGGTTCTCCATGATTGCTACTTTGTTGTTGTTGTTTAAATTTTGTTCACAATTGTTTATTAAAAGGACTCAGGCTAAGGAAGAGCCTGCAAGCAAACAAAATTGTTTATTAAAGGAACACAGTTTGTATGTATTGGTTTGTGCTAGTTGGTCAGGCTGGTGTCTTTAGCATGATATGAAACACATCCACATGTAATTTTTAAAATATATGTTTTTTTAGAGAGAGAGAAAGGGAGAGGGATAGAGTGATAGAAACATCCATGAGAGAGGAACATAATCAATTGGCTGCCTCCTGCACACCCCCCACTGGAGGCAAACCTACAACCTGGGCATGTGCCCTGACTGGGAATGGAACTGGGACCTCCTGGTTCATCATACACCTGTAATTTTTAAAAATTAGGTGATGTAAAAGACTAGAATTAACACTTTTTTTAGGTTAAGAAATATAGTTTATTCCTGAAACGAATGTATCTTCAAATGGAAGGGTTTTTCTTTATGTGAGTTTTAAATAATTTTCAGTGCCCAAGAATGTTCTCTATAAAACATAACAAAATGCATAACAATAATGGTTCAATTGAAAATAGTTATCTTGAGAAAGGATTTGATTTGCAATTCTAATTACCCTATGACTTGAGTAACAAATTTACTATAAGATTTGGTCAACTATAACTTATCATGTGGCTTGGAAATAGTATAATTTAGAAATAACATGTTTTACTTACTACATGTTTCACTTATTACATCTTTCCATATCTATATTATTTAAAATAAACACTCTTAGTTTTATTAAAAAGTAACACTCATGCCCTGACTGATTTGGCTCAGTGGATAGAGTGTCAGCCTGGGGACTGAAGGGTCCCAGGTTCGACTCCGGTGAAGGGCATGTACCTTGGTTGTGGGCACATCCCCAGTGTGGGGTGTGCAGGAGGCAGCTGATCGATGTTTCTCTCTCATCGATGGTTCTAACTCTCTATCTCTCTCCCTTCCTCTCTGTAAAAAAATCAATAAAATATATATTTTTTTAAAGTAACACTCACAGGAAACGGAAATTATTTCATAGTAACTTTATTTTTTTTTTTTACCAGCCACCTTTTATTAGGTGTTACATTACAATATGAAAGGATTCAGAGGTGCTGGGCAAAGGTCATGGTCAGGAATGTGGAGTCCACACTGGGCCCTCTTCAGTGGTACTTGCGTCGTCGCTCATGCTTTAGTTCCTTATAGGAACGGCAGTAGTTGAAAATCACATAAGCTGCCAGCACCATAGAAACCCCAGCAACACCTCCTTTCTTCACATTGATGTACTTGTTGTAATACCTGTGGTAACCTCTTTGAAATGCTCCAGCAATGCCTTTAGGGGTGAAATCTCGCATCATTATCCAGCTTGGCAACTCCCCTAATTTGACTTCCATCAGTCTCTTCTCCTTCAGTGGCACGACTGACGCCATCTTGGAGTCCGGGGTCCATAGTAACTTTAAATAACAGGGAGGTTAGAGGTGATATTAAAGGTGATATCATGTTATTAAAGAAGGAGTCCTCAGTAAAACAACAATAACTAAATAACCTGTTCCATATTGTTTATGCTAGTATTTCCAGAATTTACTTTTCCGTGTAACTCTTTTCTTCGCAAAATTCTCACTAATGCTACAGGAATGGCTGAGTTAGGGACTGTGTAGTCACAGAACATACCGCCTTAGGGAAATACAGTCCAGGACGACAATGGGTCATAGTTAAATATTTGATGTGAGCCTGAGGCACATACTGTTCTTGTGGTGTGGGCTAACCATGTGAGTAAATCACATGGGACATTATAGCCACTCCATGTTCTGTGTAAGGACTGAAGAGCTAAGGGCCAGATTTCTACCTTCATAGCAGCAGTTTAGAAGAACTAAAGAACCTGGATCTCGAGTTGAACTCCTGACCTTGAGGTTGTTTGAGATGAACTTCAACTTTCTGAGCCTGGTTCCTCCCTCGTGTCATGGGGATAATTTTATCCTTACTTTAAGCATTGTTGTGAGAACACAGTGAAATAAAGCACTCAGTAGATGGTAGCTGTTATTAATATTACAATAATGTTTTATAACAGGTAGGCTATAAGGTATTTTGCAAATGTATCTCAAACCTAAATGAGAACCAGTTAATTCTCTTTGCCTTGTTTTTTGTTTTTGTTTTTTATAGCTTTTACTACTATCTAGCATGCTACATATTTATTGTTTATTAGTTCATCATCTGTCTCCCTAACTACAATGTAAGCTTCTTGAAGGTGTCAGTATTGCACATACTAAGCACTCAATATATATTTGCTGAATTAAATAATCACTACTAAAAGCTCTCATGTATTGAGTGTCACTATGGACTACGCCTTTTACTAAGTATTTAACATATACTTTTACATTGTATCATTTAATATTTACATTAACCCTAAAAGATGTCTATTATCCCCATTTTAAAAAGTGAGAACTGAGAGTGAAATTAAGTAACTTGCCCCAAATGACACTCTAGAAAGTGACAGAATCAAAATTCAACCCCAAATTTCAATTTACACTTCAAATATTCACTTACTGTATTAGCTTCCTAGCACTGCAGTAACAAATCACCATACTCTTGGTGCCTTAAATTAGCAGTTTATTACCTCACAGTTATGGAGACCGGAAGTCAGTATCCCTGGGCTGAAATCAAGGTGGTGGCAGAGCAAAGCTCCCTCCAGAGGCTCCAGGTTCTCCCAGCTTCTGGTGACTGCCAGCATTCCTTGGCTTGTGGCTGCACCATCTAATCCCTGCCCTAGGATCACATCGCCACTTTCTCTTCTATGTAAAATCTCCTTCTTACAAAAGGGCATTTTGATTATATTTTAAGGTCCATCTGGATAATCCAGGATAATCTTTCCACCTAAAAATTCTTATTCACATCTGTAAACTCTTTTTGTGCTTGTAAAGTCACATTCACAGGTTCCAGAGGTTGGGATGTGGTCGTCTTTTGAAGAGCCATCAGTCAGTCTACTATTCTTGTATCCTAAAAAAATGACTTTGCATTGAGGTCCCAGTCCCCAGGCCCAAGACAAAGACTGCTCACCACGAGAGGAATGCCAGTTACAACACTCAGGCCCAAGAGGTGAGGGGAAACTTTACAAGATGCAATCATTTTCCCTCTGGGTCTAGGGGAATATATTCTAGGCCTAAGTGCAGGAAAAACTGGATAGGTCAGATGCCGGGAAGGTAAAAAGATAAATGCTTATTTGTCACAGAGATAGCGATTTGTCTCTGAGAACCCCTGAAAACAGAAAAAAGAGAGAAGGAAACAGCCTGAGAATTCGCTTAATTAAGTAATCAAGCTTAGAATCACCAATAATAGGAAAAACTGATGCCTTCTGATGTGATGCAGTAAGAGATACTTGACATATCTATGCAGTATCCTTAACAAAGAAAAGAAAAGAAATCAGGTAGAAACCATCAGAGAAATTCAGAATATGGGACATTATATCTTGGACTCTTCAAAATATTTCAGTGCCATGAAAAAAAAAATTCTGAGATTGTTCTAGATTAAAAGACACAGCAGCTAAATGTATTATTTGATCCTTAACTGGGCCTTGGATTGTGTTGTTTTGTTTTTTAAAAAAAGCTATTAAAATCCGGCTGGTATGGCTCAGTGGTTGAGCATCGACCTATGAAGCAGGAGGTCACAGTTTGATTCCTGATCAGGACATACGCCTGGGTTGTGAGTTCCGTCCCCAGTGTGAGGCATGCGTGAGGCAGCCAAGCAGTGATTTTCTCTCACCAATGATGTTTCTATCTCTCTTGCCTCTCACCTTTCCTCTCTGAAATCAATAAAAATATACTTTTAAAAAATTAAAATGCTATCAAAGTAATTTTTTGAACTATTAGGGAAAAATGAATATAGGCCGTCTTATATGATGTTGAATTGACATTAATTTTCTTAGCTGTTACAATGCTCTTATGTCAGGAAATATTTTTAATCTTGGAAAACACATGCCGAAGTACTTAGGGATGGAGTATCCTGGTGCTCGCCAGTAAATTTAAGTGAAGGGCATGTGGATGTTAAGTGTACTATTCTCCAGCTTTTCTGTAGGCTTCGAAGTTCCTTCCAAATTTAAATGAAAGAGGGAGAGAGAGAGAGAGAGAGAGAGAGAGAGAGAGAGAGAGAACAAAATTACTTTATGGTTACCTTGTGAATTGGTGGTGCTCATCATGACTAGGGTGGGTGAGGAGAGTACTGCACAGACTTGCACAAAAGATGAAAAGAACTTGTAATTGCTGCCTTCTGTCTTGGGACTGCCCTATTTTCAGTAACAATCAAGAAACAAACAGCCTGGGAGACGCACTGGGGTGACGGGGCTGCCATTCCTACTACACCAGTCTCCAAAACGTAGCCATGATGTGGACTAGTATAAATAGATTATTTGTGGTTTTCTGTTATCTGTGGTTCTGTTCTCTTCTATTGAGATGAATAATAAAGCACTAATTATTGGTTTAACTGTTTTTGTGAGCATTTATTCATTTAATACATTTGCATTGAGCACCTACAAATGGCCTATAGACACAGGGGATTCAGCAGACAAGATATAGTACTTGCCATCATGGAGATAACATTCTAGGTCAGGGGTCCTCAAACTATGGCCCAAGGGACACATGCAAATACAAATATTGTATTTGTTCCTGTTTTTTTTTTCCCTTCAAAATAAGATATGTGCAGTGTGCATAGGAATTTGTTCATAGTTTTTTTTAAACTATAGTCTGGCCCTCCAACGGTCTGAGGGATAGTGAACTGGCCCCCTGTTTAAAAAGTTTGAGGACCCCTGTGAATCTAGGTAATCTAGATAACATTAAAATACTTGAAAATTCTAGAAGGAGTGAATCTACTTACTCGTGCTCTTCAATTTACTCTCATCATGTCTAGCAGAACACAGCTGAACATGTTCAGAACACTATATCCACACCCTTGTTTAAACCCCTTTCACTAATAAGATGCTCAATAACTGTGTTTATTTTGGGAATGGATGAGATGGCCAATGGAAGAAGTATAGCTAGAAGAGAGAAAACTTCCCAAATCCGAGTCTTGGGTACCCCAGGGATATAAGGAGGAACCAACAAAAGAAACTACAAAAGAGCCCCAGAGCAATAGGAGAAATTTCAGGTAAATGTGGTGTCCTGGAAACCAAGCACAGTAAGTTTTTAAAGGAAGATAGATGGATAGATAGATAGGATCAACTGTAGCCTTACCACAGATATCCTCTGTTGCTCAAGTGGTTGATGAGAGTTTATTACTTGCAAGCAAAGTAGGTGTGATTATAGAATGTAGTAGTTCTAGTACATAGTAGTTGATTAAGAAATAGTAGCAACCATTTCTAGCTCTGGGAAAGGTTCAGTTTTTGTGTGTGTTTGTTGTTGTTTTTCGTTAACTGACCAGAATTGAATCATATGTCAGGTGGGTGAAGAAAAATGTCAGAAATGGTACTATAGAGAGAGCAGATCTGGGCAGAGCTTTGGACTCGGGGGGGGGGGGG